TGGTTTCAATTCCTTCCCCACCCATCAGGAAGATGAAATGCTTTGTTTGTGGCTGGTTTCAATTCCTTCCCCACCCATCAAGAAGATGAAATGCTTTGTTTATGTGACTAATCAAAAGGCAACTAGAGAAATGGGAAGGATTTTCTTGATTCAGTTTGCAGTTTTCATGTCCTGTGATCCAGAGCAGAGGCAATATTAAGCAGCAGCCCTTGTTGTGCACATTTGTAATGACCTTTCCAGTGATGAATACTGGTGAAATGCTGGAGACATGAGGTAAAGCTGTTGGTCTGTAAAATCTTGCCCTTAAAGGTGTCTCACACAACCAGAAAGCTTCACTTATTTTTGTCTCAAGCCAGCCTGTCTTCTTGCAAACATGATGTATGTAAAAAGTAGGATAAAAATCACCTTCATGAAAACACAGAATTAATTGAATTCCAAGTAATGCTTGTAAGTTATGTAATAACTTACTGCATTTTGAAAACAGTACCTTAACACATTTCTAAACGACAACTAAAGCTATACAAGAGGTATAAAGTTCTTGATGTAGAGGAATATCTCATCCCAGACAGTCAAATGTTATATCTCCATCTGCTAGCAGAAAAAAAAAAGTTCTACTAGCTAGCAAGAAATATAGTAATTAGGAAAAAAACCAACAGATATTGACTTTCTGCTTCTAGAGAATAGAAAGTTATCGGTGCTTGTTTCAGATGTTCACAGCAAAATCATTCTTTATAATTGTAATGAATGTTGCTACATAATTCTTAGTTTACAACTATATTTATATCCCTATGCTTTTCTTGAGTTTTACACTAAATCAAGGTTTGCTTTCCAGGCTCTTTTAAAGGACTGCAGATAATTTGAGGCAGAATTTAAAGACACAGAATACAGGAAAGGATACACTTTTCTTTCCCAAACAAGAATAAAAGGGATTTGGTAGTTGTTTAGTGCAATTAATCTTACAAGTAAATATCTTTTAAACAGAAAGTGTTTACTTTCTAGGAACTTTTTAACTTTCGTTTTTAAAAATTGAAAAAGCCCTAAATTTGTGATGTTGTTTCTAAGTTTTTCTATTACTTTGTTGCTTTTGAACTCTCAGTTAAACAGCTGTGTTCCAAGTAGAAAAATGCCTGTCTGTGGTTTCTTGATTTCATTATGTATGATAGTTTTTTTGTTAGAAGTCCACTTTTATTTTGAAAATGTGTCCATTCTATATACATTAATTTTGTGGCCATGGCAGATAATGTATATTTAGTGTGGTTAAAACAATTTGTGCTCTGCACCTTTTAAAAGGAAGACATATAGTAGTTAACCCATTGCAAAAAAAATTTTGCTGGGTATAGTAATTTCTAACAAATGGTAGCAAAAAGTTAAACACCTCAAAGAAAATGTATTTATGATTAAGAGCTCCATAAGTCTGTGTTATTTGCATTGCCTCAAATACGCAAAAATTTTATGTTGAAACGATGAAAGAAAATGTCAAATCTTTGGTTTCTGTATTTCTAGGTTATCGTCACTGTCGTCCTGGAGAGTTTACTTGTGCTGATGGAAGATGCCTGTTAAATTCCCAGTGGCAATGTGATGGAGATTTTGACTGCCCAGACCATTCTGATGAAGCACCTATCAACATCAAATGCAAAAGTTCAGGTTTGTGTTTAATTTTCTGAATAACGTGTGACCTCTCTGTTTGGGGAGCTGTGGTTTAGGCTTGTAGATCGGCAAGTGTAAAACTTCTTACCTTAAATCTTCAGTGCTTTCATGGTGATATTCCTTGAGTCTTGCCAGGTGAATATGTTCTGAGCACCCAACACCTCAGTTCACAAAGTTCAAGCCACCAGTTCCCGTAGCATAAGATGACAGATAGTTCCATATTGCATAAGTTCTGCTAATACTAAAATAAGATGATATTAATGTAATAATTGCCAAGATTTCTAGTTTGCTCCGAAAATGTTTACTGTGTTTAATATATTCCTCACACTGAAGTAGGTCATACAAAAGTTGCTCTCACTGTAAATAATAACACTGGATTAATTTTGTTAGTAAATTATTGACCAAATGTGACTGGTTTTATCGATGTTTTCTACTTACATGAATATGTTTACTGAGGTCTGACTGGTTTTTGAGAGGGAAATTAATCCTGGTTTGCATATGATATTCTATTCTGTGGCTTTTTGGAGAACCAGTTCTTCTGTTTAGACCTTAGGACTTTAGTGCACTTGTAGCCAGGTCCTTTATACCAGTTTGGGTAGAAAACACTCCTTTGTTTTGAGGTGAGACAATACACCTGCATTAATATAAGTGTTTAATTGTGATTTGAGCAATCTGAATGTAACTGAAATGATGTATACCAGTTTTGCCAAACAGGGAAATACATGCATGTCATTAGACAAGGAATGCATGGGAATTCTGTCAGTCATGTTACTAAACACCTCAGCACCTACAGGGGAGAGAAGCCAAATTTTGTAAACTATAGAACTGTGTTTTGTGCAGAGATGTAGAGGATTCTCCATTATGTGAAAAGAAATATGTAAGAAGGAGCAATAAGTTGAAGCCTTCACACATTTTCTAGGAGAGGAATAACCTTTAAAGACCCTGAAAAGTGAAAAGATATTATAATGCTCTCAATAAAGAATAAATAGTCAAGTTTTTACCCCATAGTTTCACCTATATGCACACATAGCAGCTGATTCATGAGGAAATTCATTCCAAATAGATGACACTAAGTTGTGTTCTCTTTTTTTTTTGTTTTCCAGAGCAGTCATGTAACAGCTCTTTTTTTATGTGCAAAAATGGCAAGTGTGTTCCTCAAAGTGATGTTTGTGATAACAAAGAAGATTGTAGTGATGGCTCTGATGAGAAAAGCTGCCACATTAATGAATGCCTCAGTAAGAAAGTTAGTGGCTGCTCACAAGATTGTCAGGATCTTCCTGTTGGATACAAGGTGAATAATTACAAAATGTGGTGTAATATAATGCAAGTTCTTAACTGTTTAATTGCTGTGTGATTATAGTAAAGCTCCACTGTATGGGAATTCCTAGTAATGAAGTAACTCACTGACCATAGTAAGAATATTCACATTTTTATTTCCAATGTGCAAACATTTGCCAATTGTATTAAAAAATGGTACAGTACATACTTTAAACCTATGAAAAAGCACATACAATGCTTCAAATATAGCAAATCATACTGATATATACAGGTCAATGAAAATCAGTTGTGAAAAAATACAATAGCTAGGAACAAACTGCAGGAAGAGCAGTTTTCTCCAGGTTTGTTTTATTTTTTCCAAGTCAGAGGCACTTACAGAAGTATTTAAACAAAGTAATATCACCTTAGCAGCTGAATAAAACTGTTAGTTGTCTGCATGTGAGGGTGTTTTCTGAATCACTTTGAATCTGCCCTTTGGTCTTGAGATGCAGAGAGGAATAGTTCTTGGACATACACAAACCTTAGCCACTGACTGAATTAACATGTAAATAGAAGCTAAGAAGAGCAGAGATAATTTTTTTCAGGGTTTTAACTCTGAAATTACCCTATCTGCACTCCCAAGGCTTCATCTTTTTAGCTGAATATTAGGTCACTCAATAAAACTGTCCAGCATGGCTTAGCTCCACAGGCATTCAGTGCTTTGGAGCTGTGCCCTAGTTGGGGCATAGACTCAAGAGCTGTAGACTTATCTTGTACAGCAAAAACCTTGTTGAAGTAACATCATTGTGAAGAAAGCATGTCATGGGTCTCTGCAGAAAGTAGTACAGAGGGAACATGAGACAAAGTTTTTTGTTGATGAAACTTCTGCTCCTGTTTCAAAATGCTTCTGCCCAGTTTTACTTTGCATCATTCCCATTGCATGTGATAAACTTGCCAGGGTCACCATCAGACCCCAAGAAAAGTCATAAAATTATGGAATATCCTGGAATGGAAGGAATACACAAGGATTACTGAAGTCCAGCTCCTAATCAGTTTCAAGAGTTCTCATTCAATTTATTACACACATTGTTCGTTGTTACCAATGCTTCAAGAAAGCATATTAAAAACTGTCTATCTTTACCAAAAAACACATGTGTACTTGAAAATAAAGAACTCTAAAAGGTCCATCCGTCATTATCCTAATGGAAAAATCTTGTCCATGTTGTTGAAAATAAAGAACTCTAAAAGGTCCATCCATCATTATCCTAATGGAAAAATCCTTTCCATGTTGTTCAAAAGGTATGTTTTACTTTTCCTTCAGTTAAAAAAGAAAGGAAAACTACTCCATTCTACAAAGTTAGTTCTGAGCCAATGATACTTAGGGTCTCACTAGCAATATTTGCAAAGGAATGTAGATATGTCTCTCTAGAAACCATACAAACAGCAATGTAATTAAGATGTTACTTGACAAACTGAGACTCCATGAAAAGTTTATGATTCTGACATATTCAGAAGAAAGTACACCAGATCATAAACAGAATCAATGAGAAATTAAAAATGGATGTTTGCTTTTTT